CAAGCGTGCGCTTGACACGACCAGCAGATACCCTGTATGTAAACATCTGGGAATTTTTCCAGCGTAGAACATTTGTATTCTGAGATAACTTTTTTGTTTATTGTCCGATCGAGCTGAAATTTTTACTGCTTTAAGTTGGCATTAAAATGTGTCTTTATACCAAAAATTAGGGCAAACAAATGAATACATTTTTTATGGAAGCTATCCATTAGGTAAATTATTCCTACACATACTCAGCTTCTCCATCTCTCTCTCTCTCGTATATCACAAGGCGGATCAGAGCTCATCAGCCCGATCAAAAATATACCTTTACATATTTAAACGAGTTTGTCTGCCTGTTACATGCATTTGCACACATCCATTGTACCTGACTTTTACCCAATTTCCATAGGTACAGGGCATACGAACAAAAAAAGGAGAAGGAGAAGAAAATAGTGGTTGGAAAATAAAACTACATGTCCCGGTACTTTTCAATGTAGTCAATGCTCCGTGTGCACTGCTTATGCATTGCTTTTGTTTTGTTTGCATTTTTTGGTGGTGCAGCAGCAGGCAGAGAACGAGGATGGAAGAGAGAGAGAGGGGGGGGGGGGGGGGGGGGGGTGCAAGGAATCACTTAACAGGCAACAGAGGGACAAGTCCAAGCGGCGTCGATTAATGCCAGCGAATCGCAACGAATCGCGCGTCAGCGATGCGGGCCTGAGCTGGAGCTGGGCAGGGCCATTGGACTCGAGATTAGCACAGGATTTGCGCCTGATCAAAGACCAAAAGCCTAGAGAAACCAGCAAGCAACTGGCCAAACGAGATGCCGAAGATTAAATACGCTTGCGAGCCAATGCGTGTTGATGTATTCTCAATCCCGAATATTCCTGGGGTAGAATATATAATATTGAGAGCATAGAGAAAATTAGATTCCGAGAGATCGGCGTATTTCAAAAGAAGAAGCAGAAGTACTTAGGAATAGATGAGCTCGTATTCCGGCCTACTTTAACTTTAGGAACTATATCTAGAAAGTCCGTTATTGAAAAGATACCAGCTAATTATGTAGGAAATCATCCTGAACTCAAAGGTTTAGATATTTAGAACAATTAAAAAAGTTTTATAAGCGTGATCAGAACTCTCGCGATCCTCGGTTCCTAGCAGAAGTATATGATATATTCATTGGATCTTTAAGAAATCTACTTCCTATAGCAAAAATAGCTATCTAAGCCAGATATCAGCTAGATAGCTAGAATACTAAGAGGGTTCGAATAGTTAGGCAAAGGGTTTTGGCTATTGAATCAGATCAGGCCTGGCCTCCTTATGCATCTTGAACATTTTATGACAGATTTAGAATACCCTCAGCTAGGGTATAAAAATAACAGGAACACAAGAGGCGCACGCTCTGCCCTGGCCAGGCCAGGCCAGACCAACCTATGGCTATGGCTAGAGCTTGAGCTGGGCAACAGATAACGACGACAACGACGACACCTTGCAAGCCAGAGGCTGTGGCTTAGGCTAAGGCTAAGGCTGTGACTGTGCCTGGGCCAGGCCAGAGCCAAAGCCAGAGCCCAGAGCAGGCCACAAGTCGTGCAGGAAGCGAGTTTTTATGCAGGCAAAAGGTTTACACAGTCTCCGCGTCCCGGCGTCTTTTCAGCTGTCCGGCCATTTGTCCATTTGGTCCGTTCTTGGACTTGTCGTCTGCGTCTGCCTGCTTCTAAAACCAGTTGCAGGTAGTTTAAAGTAAGCCCAAGATGTTCGCTCATCTTTTGTGGCTCTTTTCGGCTCAATTCCTCTGCCTCTTTTCCTCCTTCTTCCACTCCATCCGCGGCTGCTGTTGCCTGCGCAGCAACAGGCCAAAAGACTGGACTCTACGAACTCGGTGTCCAATATTTTTGTTTTGTGGCCGAAACGAGCGTTTTTCATTGCCCATTTCGCCGCTTCCCCAACCGCGCCCCAACCCGCCTCGATTCCCGCTAAATGCAGCTCTTTTTTATGTCTGTCTTGGCCGCAATGCAGTGAGAAAAATTCGTAGAAGTTTGCCTAGGATTAATTGGTTAATCTTGTTGTGTGTTTAAGTGCATAAATGGTTTCCTATTTCTACGAAATAAATTATAAGCTGATTAATCTGGCGTTTAGTCAGCGGATTCTTTAATTGATAACATTTTTATGGTGAATGATATTGAGCAAGTGTAATTAACTCGTTCGACGCTGTTGCCCAATTTCAGTTGAATACTCATTAAAACCATTAACGCTAATGCATTGTTGCCAAATTTCAGTTGCTTCATCAAATCAATTTGCATTAAACGACACATTTATGCAAGCATTTCTGGCCTTGTTGCCACACTTCACTGACAGCCATTGATGCCAAATTTCACAAAAAGTTCTCATACCTTTGTTTTAACTACTTTAAGGTACATTTTAGACTAATTGTGTGTTTACTATAAAAATCTTTGAAAGAATGCATTGAATTGCATTGTTAAACCCTTTTACGAGCTCTTTTATGCATTGTTGCCAAACTTCAGTGGTTTATTCATCAAATCAATTACTTCATACTTCATTAAACGTCTCATTTAAGAAGGAATTTCTAGCCTTGTTGCCGTTCTTCAACTACAGTTAAATGCACTGTTGCCAAACTTTAAAAAATAGCTCTAAATACCTTTGTTTTAACTATTTTAAGGCTTTATGTGTTAACTATAAAAATGCATTAAATAGCTATTTTATGCGTTGTTGCCAAACTTCACATAATTTTCTCCAAATAAATGTATGCACAAATATTTCTATCAACAGTTTAATGTTAAATGCCCAAAGAGTGTTATTTGAACAACTTGAAGCAACATTCGCCAAACAATTTGAAGTGCTTGGGCCTGTTGCCAAACTTCATTAACTATGACACTTGTTCAACTTCCTGCCATGGCCATAGAGACTAGAGACCACCTCACCTGCTCCTAAGCAAACGGCACATAAACAAAACTAGCCTGGCATCTGGCCACACGGCATCTAACAAGTTCGACATTTGGCACTTAAATTTAACGCTTGATTGCATTTACGGTGTGCGGCGGTGGTGTGTCGAGTGCCGAGTGCGCTATATATTAAAATATAGTTTCTGTGAGCCAGTGCAGCTGACTACGACGACGACTACGACCCAGGGCAGAGACCAAAGACCAGCCCAGACCAGACCGGGCCATAGACAGCGACTGCGACTGAGACTGCGACTGAGACTGCGACTGAGACCATGATGATTGCTTTTGAAAAGCCAATCCAACGTCAACGACTCTATTCTGCGGGTTCTGCTTTAAGCCAGAAGGCCTAAGCCAAGCCGTTCGACTGCCGGCTTCTCTTTCTCCTAAACAGCTTTTCACGTTTGCCCCATTCTTCTAGGGCTTGTGTGAAGTGGAGGAGCGCGAACTGGAAAGTGGGAACTTGGTTTGGGTCTCCTCCTCCTCCACTTGTGGCACATTTCGTTGTCGTCTTTATGCGCTGCACAACTTCCTTGTGCCTAGTTTTGAGCACTTCTCCAGCTCCCTTCCCCCCTCCTCCGCCTCATGCTCCTCCTCCTCCGCCAACTCAGCCACCGTCCTTCTACTTGGCGTCACTTAGCGTGTGCCAGTTTTTCACTGGCTTCTTTTGGTGTTTACCCAACACTGAACCCCTGCCCTGCACACACCCTGCTGGGCGCACACACAGCCGGAAATGCCGTTTTACACGTGAATGAAATTTTTGTAGTGTTGTAAACGTAATGTGCACAGCGTTGCCAAATTTCAGTCAAAAATCAACCGTTACATCGTGCACAACTCGTTTAGCAACAATTAATGTAAAAATTGTCAAATATGCAAATCAAAGAAGCTGGAAAAACTTTTGTTAGCCGCGACTTGCAACAGCCGCGAGCCAAAACAGAAAACAACAAAACAGACAAAATATGAAACACGAGGGGAAGCCTAGTTAAGGGGGGGGGGTCACGGGATAGTACGGGGGTAGCAGCAACATTTTCATAGAAAAACCACCCTAACGCTGGAAAAATGCATAAGGCACAAAGGACGTAGGACGAAGGACGACGGCAAGCTGATGTTGATGTTAATGTTGACGCTGCGACGACAGACCGCACAAAAAAGGGGGTAAAAAAAATAATAAGAATAATAATAAAAGGCGGACGTCAGGCCTATGCATAAAGGACTCTGCACACAGGGAAAGGTCGCCGCCAGGCAAAGAGCCATTGAACCCCAGTTACATGTTAAGACCAAAGACTAGCTAAATGCTGGCGAGAAAAAAGTTTTCATATTAAATGCGAAACAACTGAACGAACAAGCTTGCAAAAATTGAATTGAAATATATACTAAAATAATAAAATATACCAACTGTAAACAGTTGACATTAAATCAAAGCCACAACAGCCCAACATTCAGTGTTGTAAAGCGATATAAGTATAAGTATTTTTTCAAGTTGGGCACTCTGAAAGAAGAAGAAGAAGCGCGCGCGAATTGACGCTGGCTGATGAAATAGGAAAATAGGCGAAAATAAAGTAAAGAGTATTATAAAAATAATATTTGTAGTAAGAATCTGTCATCTCTGAGATCAATAAGATGATGCCTTATGCTAATTTTTTTGACATTTTTAGTTTAAAATTTGACAAATTCACGAGCAATGCAATGAAATGTCATTCTATAGAACTGAACTGATGTTTTTAATAGCAAGTCTGCAACAATTTAGATTTTGGTATTATATTTAAGAGCCTACATGCCTAATTTCGCACTTCTAGCTATTTTCTATAGCAGGCATTATAACTGATATCAATGAGCATGTTATAAACTTCTTTTGGAGTTATTTTAAATCAAACATTTGGAGTTTTAAGCACTCACAAAGCAGATTTAACAATGCCAAGAGCTTGAACTATTGACATCGGATATTATCTATCTTTAAAGAATACTTAGGCTTATAATAACTAGACTATGAATTGTTTTATAAATTCCTTATAATAGCTAGCCTTAAGCATTGATGTATAAAAATTGCATGGCGTCAAAACTTACCAGACAACGCCGAATGCACCGTAGCCAATTGGACGATCCGGCTGTACATCCTGTGGCACCGCTGGCGGCTGATAATACGGTGCCGCTGCGGCCAATATTGCGCTGGCGCCCTGTGGCGCACCACCGGCAGCACCACCCTGTACCAGTGACATCGAAACGCTCATCGAGCTACGCGGCGCAGCAGCTAAAGGATTTGGGCAGCTGTCGTTGCTGCTCCTTCTGGAGTAACTGGCTCCTGCTGTCTGCTGAGGATTAGCTGACGTTTGATAAAGCCTCTGCTTGCTGCTGTTGTTGTTGTTGGTGTTGGTGGTGTTGGTGGTGTTGCTGGTTGGATGGGAGAAATGGTGTTGATTGCTCAATGGATGCCGCTTGGGGCCACTAATGGCCGCCATTCAATAGTTGCCCATTTGGTGTTTGTAATTTTTATTGCTCGTCTTGTGTTGTGCACACAAATTGGTTGTATATTATTTTTTTAACACATTAGAAATGAATTTTAGCGAATTTTGTTGAAATTTTTGCACATTTTTTGCTTACTTTTCCGGCTATTGTTGTTGTTGTTGTTGTTGCTGGCGACTGCAAGAAATCAAGAATTCAAGATTTAGAATTTTGGGCGCATTTTTGCCAGGCAAAGGAAAGAGGGAAACGAAAAGTAACAAAAAAAAAAAAACTGCCGTTAGCTGCGGCCGGGGCGCGTCCGTGTAAATGTGCGCGCATGCATATGTATGCGTGAGTCAGTGAGCGAGCGCAAGAGCGAGAGAGCGAATAAACACACAGAAAAAAAAATAAAATAAAATGCGAGTGGAGTATGGAGTTTGTTTTTTTTTTTTTTTAATGTTTACATGGTAGCGCAGACAGTTTAATCAACTTGAAGTGAAACATATCTTATTTAATATGTGCACATGTTTTGCAATAACAACAAAAGAGAGCGACGCACAACAACAAAGTACGCTCTCAGCGTGCTTAGCGTCAGCGTCGCGCACTTGACACTTTTTTGCTGCTGCTGCGACGCCGACGCCGACGCCAAGGCAACGCTCATGGAAAACAATGCACAGTAAAAAAGAAAAGTGCACTGAAATGCAGAAAATGTGCGGCATTTGTATGACACATGGAATTTGAATACATTTTCCAGACTAATTTCCCATTTCCTTACCTTAAAAAAATGCACAATTATTGAGTGGCGGCGGCAGCAGCTGCGACAGCGGCAGCGAATTTTTGCTGGTGACAACGGTGGGGAGCTGATTTCGATGACTGCGGCGACTCTTCCGCATTTGTGTGTATGAGTGTGTTTGGCGTGCGTGTGTGTGTGCAGCGTCGGTGGCGACGGCCGCGGCGGCGTTAGAGACAGACGATAATGAAATTTACAAATGAAAATTCGATGCTAACTTAAACACGACGCGGGCTGCGACGGCAACGTTGACTGCGACTGCGACTGCAAGAGCGGCTAAAATGTAGCAAGTCTCACGAATTTGTTGTTATTTGTGATTTATTAACGCACACACACATTCACTTAGGGACAGACGCACACATGAGCGACAGCGAGACCGACGGCAATCAATTGAATTATTTTTTTTTCTGAAACTTTTTACTTGTGCATTTGTCACGTTTGTTGGGGCACAATTATTATTGCATTATCTGGTTATTACACTACCCGAAGTTTGATAGGCAGCAGCGAAGTTGCTTTTGCAATACATGTGTGTGTATGTATTAATTTTTTCCTTTGCCTTTTGCAAGAAACACACGCGGCGTCTTTTTACCGATTTTATGCGTGTCGTTTATGCGAAAGTCATGATAGGACTGACAACAACAAAATTTCTAGCGATGTGACCGGGCCTACGTGAGTGGTGTGACCAGTCGTTTTATTTTTGGTATTTTCATTAACAGCTGAGTTTTAGCAACATGTTGCCTCAACACTGCAGCATAACAGCATGTAAGCAAATCCCATTGTACACTAATAGCATGTTCTAACCATGATTTTAAGTGAATTTAACGGCTTTTAATCAATTTACATGTTAAATTAATTTCCCTGTCATATTTTCTTGTGTTAGCAACATTCCGCAAAAGTTAACGTGTGACCAGCTGTTTTGTTTTTGCCATTTGGCGTTTAACATAGCTATGTTATGTTAACTGCACAGCTGTAACTATCGATAAGTACTCGCTGTGGCCGATATTTGCGGATAGTATGCAGTGCAGCCAGCAACGTAATCGAGCAGCATACCTTATCTGAATTTTGTAAACAAAAAATTGGTCAACATGGAACGAGAGACGGAAACTCTGAAGGAATTCCTCACCGATCTCGTCGTGCCGCACCATCGCTGCAATGTTAACATCATACCCGATCACATCACCATGCTGCATGGCACCAAAAACAAAAAGCAACACAGCCGCAAGCGGCGCGCCCACAAATCGAGCACGCTGACACGCCGGGAATACGCCCAGCTAGGTCTCAATACGCTGCCCACACGGCAAATGCGCTACGAGCAGGCGCTGCCGCTGCACAAGCTCTGGCGCGGCTACCTTCGCGAGCATCTAGATCTGCGCGAGGGCGACGAGGTGCCGCAAGTGCATGAGAAACGCTACGAGGAGTTCAGCAAGCAGCTGGTCAAGCTGGATTTGCATGGCGCCAAGCTGCGTGTGGTGCAGTCCAAGTGTCCCACGCTGGTCGGACTCAACGGCATCTGTGTGCTGGACACAAAGAATGTGCTCAAGCTGCTGGGCGAGGATCATCGGGTGCGCACCGTGCCCAAGAGCGAGTGCGTCTTCGGCATGCACGTGGACAGCCTGGAGTTTATCATATTCGGGCAGCATCTGAATATGCGGCCGGCGGAGCGCAGCGTGAAGAAAATCAAGAGTTATGTGGAGCCCTTCATGTAGCCGCACAATAAATGCCGCCGAAATGTAAATCTTTAATTCAAATTTCATCATTGTTTTTTATATAAAATCGTACATTTAACGCCCCAGTCGAAGGGCGACTGGAAATATCGCGTCATGTTTATTACATATGTATTTATTTATAGCTTTAAATGTTTGTTAGTTGTGTTTGAGTTTCGATTTTGAGAGCATTTACGCAGCCGGCTTGGTCATGGTTATGACAGCCGAGGGCACCAGGCCCAGCACCTCCAGCGGCTTCTCGTAGTCATCGTCGGCAAAGATCTTGCGCGGAAATGTGGTCATCAATGCGAACGGCGTCTCAATGCCTGTCTTCACCTGTATAAAGACGCGCACCGCCGACAGCGGCTCCTTCACATTGAACTCGGAAGCCAGCGTCGAGCCATCCTGCAGTCGCACCTGTATGCGCGTCTCGGTATAATCGCGTGGCGGCGACTTGATGCCCGTCGGCGTGATGGCCGTGGTAGTCGAACTGACCGAGGGCACGGCATCCGACGGCTTGCCGGGGCTGCTCTGCTCTGCCCTGGAATAATGATTAGGCTTAAGCTGGAGCGCTTGCTTTTGAGGGTTCCTCACCTGGCTTTGCGTGCCGCCTTGTCGGCCTCGATCTGTGCGCGCACACGATCACGTGCCGCCTTCTCCTCTTCCTTTTCGCGTTTGCGCTGATCAACTATCTTTTTCATTTCGATTTCCTCCATGCGACGGCGCGCCTCTGTCATATCCTTGCCGGAGCGTATGCGATTGCGTTCACGTTCCAAGGCATCGGCCTTCTCGCGCTCCTCACGCTCGACGCGCTTCTGTTTGAGCTTCTCCTCGATCAACGCCAGCTGTGCCTTCTTTTCGTCCTCGGTCAGTGCCTTCTTCTCCTCAGTGGACTCGGAAAAGTTGCTGTGACCCGTCTTGGCCGCATGGTACTCGACCTCTGTTTGATCCTTCAGCACCTTGCCGCAATCGTCGCATTTCAAAGATTTGGCAACGGCCGCTCCGCCCGATACGTCGGCGGCTCCGCTGCTGCTCGGCGCAGAGTCTTCGGTTGCAGCCGGGTCGGCGGCTGCAGCTGGTATCTCTTCATCGCCGTGGGCCAAGAGCCACTCCATGGCTATCTCGACGCCTTTATGGCTAGTCACACTTAATGCATATTCTCTATGAATTCATATAAAAGCATAATACAAATTAGCCGGCGAAGAAAATATTTGGACATATACTTACACTCTATCTCTGGGAAAACCCATGTCCATTAATGTTTGTACATCACTCATGTCTGCAGTCTAAATTTCTAGCGCAAATGTCTCAATAGAACACGTAAGTTTGTGCAAATGCTTAATTTTTTCCACTTAATATTTTCCCTGCAATAATGACACACAAAAACAATGCTGCGTTGCTAGTGTTGCACAACGTCAAAAGTGAATGCTTACTCTAAATGAATATTTTGTTTTAATCGATTAGATGTAATGCGTTAAATTAACAATAACAAATAACAAAAGTGAATAACAAATATGCATTAATAGGCAATACATTTATTAAACTAAACACTTTAAGCGTATAATTAAAAATAATGCGGCATGTAGATAAGACATCTATATACCTATCGATGTATCGATAACACATCAGCTGCTTTGAATATGCAGTTGCGTCGCTGCAGCTTGCCTAACCGATAGCGTCGTATAACCATTTTGTTAGCGTTACCATCAGAAAATGTCGCCCCAAAATAAAATCAAGAAGATGGTAATTAAAATACCTCGCCATCCGTACATCATAGCACAGGGCGAATTCGATTATCAGGAGCGCGTTCAAATACGCAAATGTCGCGTCAATCTAGAGAGAATGAAAGGACAGCAGACAGTCGGAGGACGCCCATTCCCATTAAAACCCAAGCCGAAGCGTTGCTGTGTTCGCGTAGCACGTCTACCAAATGTGGAACGCAGCGAGATATCCGTAACACCGGCCAGCTCCATTGTGTGCTCGGATTTTGATGATGGTATCTGCATGCTTATCGCTGAGCTAATTGCAGCTATTTAACAGTTTTTATCTTTACAGATTCTGCTGACGAATAGATGATGCAGCTGTCAATGCCGCGACGCCCAATCACCAATTGTACTGAAGACTAGACAAACCAGGCAGTGGCAGCATGTCCGGGACTTTCCACACTCATATTTTGTAGCTGTAATTTTGAATATCTATAAATACATTTGTAACTAATATTTGTTACTGTAGGCGTTTTTTTTTGCTCGACATGTTTGAAAGCACAACCGATAAACCAACAGTTATCGATATTAAGCTTGTTTTAGAAAGTTTCATCACTATCCCATGGATGTCAGGTGGAAAAAAATATTTGTGAAATAGCCAAATTATTCGGTAATACAACAACATTCTAGGCAGCAAACAAATATGAATTGGCATACAGGTACTATTGCAGAGGCTGTGGCGGAATCTAAAGCCAAAGATGCCATCTTCGTTCTCTACATTCAAGGTAAAAACACCAAAATAAAAATCACCATCAATTTTTTACCACGTCATGTTTGCTAATTGGACATTGTAATTGAATAAACACTGCGCCACACACAGGTCAGGACGAGATGACAGCTAAACTGGATAGATTTCTGAACGATGGGCGCGTGACCTCGAAGCTGCAAACATCCGACTTTGTGGCAGTCAAGATACAGGGCGACAGTGAAGCTTACGCTATGTTTATATCGCTCTGTAAGTACAGTATGCGCTCGCTAAAGTGAACTGGAACAGTTTTCTATATGCATTAATCATTTGCCCCAAAGATAAAGTGGTGCCAGTGCCATCAATCTTCTTTATTGGTAAATCTGGCACCCCGCTAGATATAGCCACAGGCATCATTGGCAGCGTCGAGGAGCTGGTGGCCAAAATCGATAAAGTGCTGCTGCTGGCGGGCAAGCAGGCAAATCCGGATGCAACCACGAGCAGCGCAGTTGCAAACGAGGCCAATACACAGCAGGAAACAGGTCGCACAATTGCCGGTGCAGACAGTACCGAAACAAAGGAACAGGCATTTGAGCAAGCGGCGGCCAGGAACACAACGCAGGCAGCCGAGCAGAAATCTGAGATAACAGTGGCAGAGCCGGAACCGGAACCGGAAGAGCCAGTTATACCCGAACCCATTGCTGCGGTGGAATCAAGCTCGCGGCTTGAAACAGTTGATCCGCCAAAGCCTGCAGCTGCGCCTCAAACGGCTGCTGCGCCCGAGCCAACTGTGGCGGCGATGTCAGCGGCAGCAGCTGCAGAGAAGCGTGCGGCCGCAGCTGCAGCCGCAGCCGCAGCTCAAGAAACAACAACAGCAGTGCTGCCAAATGGGATGGCCCCTAACTTGCCCATTGCTATGCCATTAGTACCCCCAAGCACACAGAGCGGCGCACATGCGTCCACTGAGGAGACGAATATGAGCATGTCGCAAATTCAAGTGCTTGTGGAGCAGCGCAAGCAAGAACGCCTCGAGGAGCAAAAGCGACGCGACAAGGAGAACGAGCTGCGACGACGTCGCGAGGGACGCGAAGCGCAGGCCCAGAAAGTTATCAGCCGCGAGCAGGAGCTAAAACAGTTGCAAGTGAGTCCCAATTACGAATGCCAACAAGTAAATATATAATTGAAAACGTTTCTCTTCTCTTGTCAAGGAGCGCATACGTCGCGAGCGCCAGCAGGAGCAGGAGACACGTGAACGAATTCTTGCGCAAATTGCTGCCGATCGTGCCGAGATGGCGAATCGTGCATCCGCGAATGCCGAGGCGCAGAGTGTTAACACGTGCACAACGACATCGGCTGTTGTGCAGGACTTTTCTGCCACATCGGTGCAGGAGACGCGTTTGCAAATCCGTTTGCCAGGCGGCATTACGCGCACCAAAGCATTTCCCGTGGCAGAGCCACTGACCACCGTGCGCGGCTTTGTGCTGGAAGAACTGCTTGCCGGCAGCAACATACGCGAATTCACACTGGCCACAAGCTACCCGAGACGTGAGTTCAAAACCGAGGATGAGACAAAGACGCTGGGCGAGCTGAATCTGGTGCCCAATGCGGTGTTGTTGGTACTCAAAGGCGAGCAAACGAATCGCGTGGTGCGCAGCAGCAGCAATCTGATGAACATTGTGACCAGCATGATTTGGGCAATACTCACACCGGCGGCCGTCGCATTCGATTACATCAACAAAATGGGTTTCCAGCGTCTGCGACAGCGCGTCATGCAAATGGTGTCCAATGTCGGCTGGTCGAAACCTCCAGTGCGCCCCGCGGCCAACGGCGATGGGTAGGTTAAACAAGTTCGACAACCTCTAGCCACAAAACTAATGCAGCATTTCTTTACGCTTTGACAGCACCATGCAACGCAATATGGATTTGTTTATGCTGCGCACGACAAGTGGTACACCGGGCCTCCAACAGGCAACTCCACAAAATGCAGTTGGATCGCCGGCCCATCAGGCAAAGCCGACGCTCGTCTCGCACAGCGATGCGGATGCCGCATCTGGACATGACCTGACACAACAGCGCTCCGGTGGCATTAAGCCAGCGCGTTATGGTGAATCGAATATACGTCGATTGGCAGATAGCGCAAAGGACGACGACGAGGATAAGGCCACCTATAATGGCAACTCCACACAACAGCAATAAACTACAAATTACAAATAGCTATAAATTTTCTCAATAACCATGCCCGTTACATTCACAGCTTCAAGGATATGCAGCCTGAAATTTAATATTAACTAAATACAAAAGTAAAGGAAATCAACTATATATATTCAAATATTCAAATTCTTTTTGTGTGTGTGTGTTACGGTGTCTTTTTATTTAAACGAGCCAGAAAAATGATCAGCAGACACAATTTGTGATAAGATATAAAGGGTAGACCAACCAATATGCTTAAACAATTCGTTCTAATGCAAAATTTGTTAATTTAACTACGTTAATGCGTAGTTGCTTAAATGTGATTATTTAAATACACGGTATACAAGAATAAACATAATTACCTAAATGATTAATGCTTTTTTTTTTGCTGATATTTATATGCATAATCACAATTAAGTGTACTCGCCAAAACGCATTCAAAGTTCGTCATGAATATATATATATATATATATATAAACTATATATAGTAGTGATATTTGCTCGATCACGTGCGTCGTTTTAATACAATTTAGCCTCAGGTCCAGGGTTTATACTTTTAATACAATTACAAAAAGAAATATGTTGTAATAGGATCTCAATGTCTGTGAGGAATATAACAAATGATGCGTCAACTTAGATACTAGAACATTAAGACGGGCTGGAGATTGGAGGATTTTACAATGTGAACCACATGAGAAACTGCAACAGCTTGTAGACATTGACCAAGGGGAATTTCCATTGCTCTTTGCGTAGCAGCGGGGGAACCAGGCTGGGATAATGCACAGGATTGCCAATGTGGCAATTGGTGTTCACTGTGCCGCCAGGATACTTGATGGCCACCACATCGCCCAGCTTGACGCCATCGCAGTCGATCAGCTGCAGCGTTTTGTCGAAACAAATTCGGATTTCCGACAAATAGCTTATGTCGTGCTTGCCATCGAATAGACAATGTATGGAGGGATTCTTGCCCAGGCCGCGCACCAGGGCATTGTTCAATGCAATGACCGTATTGTTGGAGTCGGGATGTATACCCGCCGCATCCAGTATGTTGGCCATGACGTATTGCTCGCGCCACTTCAGACCCTGGCCAAAGTACTTCAGCTCATTGTCGAGGGCGGCGAGCACCGCAGCACAGGTGCCGTGCTTCAGCCATTCGTGCTTCCAGAGATATTCCTGCGATGAGTCGCCCTCCAGGTCCATCCAGTAGGTGTTTAAGCGATCGATAATCGCTTGCAGCTGATCCGGATTGAATTCGGCGGATCTGTTGCAAAAGTTTGGTCCAATCTGACCCATTTTGGTGGGCCAGATGCCGTGTATGGTCCAGAACTCCTTCTTCTGCGGCAACGTGCACTCGTGCGTCGGATCCTGCTCCCTCCAGTGGTAGCAGGTGGTCACGGGCCATTGCTGCGTGAATATGAGCACGTCCCAGTTGTGCGCGTCTCTGCCCAATTCATTCATATACAGTGGATAATACTCGTCGTCCTCATCTTCATCGGAGAAATCGGCGGCATTGGGTCGCTGCAGCGGCTGCTCCACGGAGCTGCTTGACTCGCCCCAGGTCAGGTTGGACAGGGCAATACCAGAGTCCGATATTTCATCTAGGTTGAGGCTAAAAAAACACACACATATATGAAACCAGCTGTGAGTAATTTGTTGTGGTTTACAAGGGTTTTGAGGCGGGGGCGTTTGGGGACATGGGGGTAACCTTGAACTTGGTGGTTTTTCAAGCGCACAGCGTACTCGGCTTATCGATTCATATTCCTAACTGTATATGCTATATAACTGTATTTTGCTTACGTTACGCTAATTTCGCGCTGCAACGCATTTTCATTTTCTTGTGTGTTTTTAATTTTTTCTTTTGCACCGCCTACGCAAATAATTAAAACGTACGCTAGAAACTTCCTTGCCGCTTGTTGTTGCCTAAAGTTATTATTAATGAGCACTTACCTCAGCGGGCTCGTCTTTGTCGCAGCAAGGCTGCATAACAAAATCGTCAAAAAAACCAAACGTTGTTGCTGCATCTGCATAATTGACTTTTGTTTTAAAATAACGTAGCGTAAGTAAATTATTTGGTGTAAATATGACGCATTTTCTTCAGCTATTGCAAGCCATACACTTTTGTTGTTTTCAAAAACACTTGTGCTGCTTTCTATCGTGTCAATCTAAATATTAGCAAAAAAATAAGTTGTAAAGTTTATTTATGCACTTTTTGTTTTTGTATTTTTCTTTTGCGCTGCTGTTGAATAGCTAACAGCTGTAAATGGCAACTGTAAATGAAAAGAGTGCTGTAAAACACCATGCAACAGATACCTGCGGCAAGGCTGCTGCAAAAACTGCTATCGATAAATCGAATCTATCGGTGAACGCGCTCCAAAATCAAATTTCAAAATCAAACGGTAAGTTTAACTTTTCACATTCTTACGAAGTCTACAAATAGTATTGCAATCAAAATAAAATGATAACCAATCTTTTGGTAATACGACCTTATCGCAATAGCTGCACTAATTGGGGCAACTAAGCTTGTCTACTGATACCGGATTTGTGGAATACGACAATTTGTCTGCACAAAACACAATATCCCAATAATTAAATAAAAAATCCCTCAGAAGCTTCATTTCTACGATAAGAATGAACTTTTAGTTGACTAAAAAGAAATTCACACACGCACACACGCACACACACACACATGCGCCGCATGCGCTTTAATTAGTGACAACGATAATTACACATATTTTGTGCTGGCACAATTGTGCTATTTTATCTATGAAATACAAACATGACATGTAGCCAAACACTAAACGACTTCTGTTGAAAACCCAATGACTACTCACAACAACAACAACAAGCCAATATGACAAGACGAACAACAAGAGCAACAACACAACATTTTCTGCTACTGAAATAACTAAGCAATTGATTATTGCTTAACTGTACTTTGTACTTTCCACTGATGATCCAACCAAGGGGACCTAGATAAAAAGCCCATTCCAGGCCCGGGGCACTTATAGGGTATTTGTCACCACTTATGGCAACTTTAACACTTAGTGTCAGCAATTTTATCAAATTCAATTAGTTCGCCCTACTCTGATAAAACTCATTTACATGGGCTCAAAATGCGTTATCATAGCCTTGTCACAGGCTTTATCATAACATTTGTGATTATTTTGTCATGTTTTCTGCATTCGAACTAAAAGTACATGATACTGTGTGATCCAACTGGGGGTTGCTTTTATGCAGATTTTGGCTGGCAACGTTTTTATGTTTTGTTTGATGACAAATTAATTTAATAATAACAGCTGCAAACATTTTGTAATCAATTCGGGCTTGGCTCAAATTATCGTCTATGTACAATCAATTAATGTTTACTGTTTTGCTTGTTGTTGTTGTTGTTGTTGTATTTTATATGCGAATCAACATTTTGCTGGCATACTTTTTCTGTGTGCATAGTCTAAGTGTATGGCATTTGCTGGCATATTGTATGGAATTACTGAGTTTAGATAAAGTTATCCAATTAGCAACATTTACTTAGCATTCCACCTATGTTCAAGTCAAACAGCTCGATGAAAAAACTGCTCAACTTGACAAAATTATCATTATTTGGCGCAAATAGTCAAAAAATCGTCGAGAGGCAGACCAAAAAAAAAAAAAAAGTTGAGCCATTAATTTTAAAATGCGCCCATTAGAAGTCGACGCTGCCGCAGCCAACTTCGCATAATGAACGCCATTATCATCTGCAGCTGTCCGCCATGATGCTGTCGCTGCCGGCGTTGGCGTCGTCGTCGGCGTCGGCATCGGCGTGTTGTGCACGCAACGCATGCGTCGAGAGCAGGCGTGCGAGAGCGAAAGAGAAAGCGCGCGCCAGTGAGAGCAAAATCTGTTGTGGGTGGAGTCAGCATAGCTGGCATTATATATGTACGCATATAGAGCATATAAGCCGGGGGTAAGCAGAGAGACGGTAATCGCCTCAATTTACCGTACATACGCGCAGAACGTAGCCAGTCACTTGACGTGCTGCCCTTTTTTGTTGTTTTCTTCACGACGTCGTCGCTGTCGCTGTCGTCGTCGCATTTGCTGTTGTTGTTGTTGTTTTTGTGCAATTGCTGTGTAAATGGCATGAGAATGATAATTGTAGCAATTATAATATTAAATTGGGAGATCATGGCTCACAGGGTTTTCCTTTTCGTTTGCCTTCTTACCCACCTCGCCCGCCCTCGCCCTTAGCTGCTGCGCTGCGCCAACGTTTTTATATAGCATACTTTTTTGCTGTCATCGCCGGCGCTGACTTTGGCCCAACTTCGGGCCTCACTCTAGCGCCATCTCTTTCACTCCCCTGGGCAGTTTTGTTGCTGCTGTGTATTTTGTCGGATTTGTTTGTTAATTAGAATTCTAGCGTTGAAATTAAAATGCTCACCCCACTGCCGCTGCCACCGCTGCTGCTGCAGCCGGCGCGCTGCTGCGGCATTAAAAAACAAAATGAGAAAAAAAAAGCAAAAATGGCGAGTAGTTTTTTGGGGCGTTGTCTGTGGGTGGAGTCGCGTTTGAGTTTTTGGCTGCCTTCTTCTCTTAATTACTGCAGTTTATTTTCTAAGTGAGACTAATTAACAGGCCATTCGTAGCATTGCGGCACATTTCCGTTGAGTTTCCATTTCGGAGCTTGCTTCAGCTACGACTACGTCCATGCGAGCTTGGCTAACGAAATTGGTCAACATTTCGGGCTAGTTAGTTGGCTGATAGCATGCAGAGTGGCCAACTGTCATGTGTACAGGCATTAAAAAGTTTTTTGTTGCCAAACTTTTTGTGCCCAATTAGTTGGCAAGATATTAGAGAAACTTTTAACAATCAAAAGTGGAAGCTATGGAACTTCAACTTTCGCTCAATTTATACAAATTTATAATGACTCTGACATATAATGAATATAAATTGCATGCTATTTGATGTATAAATAAAACAGAGCCAAAGAAATTTGATTATAGATTTTGAAAGTTTCTCAAAGTGGTTGGAGCTTGGTTTTTTTTTCTGATTTAAGATTCTCACTCTATCTATGCGAAAAGTCCATGTATCATCGAATTAATGATATCAAAATAAATTTTGGGTAGGTTAACATAAGATTAGATAGATTTATGTCCAAAATGTCATAAATTTTAAGTGTCAAACTTTGATAACTTTCTTCAAGACAAACGAAATGGAAAGAGAGAAGACTGAACCATCGAGAATTTTTGTTCTTGTTGAGCTTAGCCATGCTCAAAACTGAGTACTCTTTACTTTACGCAGCAAAATTGTTCAAAATTTGCGACGTGTTTACTTTTATATTGCCAACCATCTATGCCAACTAATCTAACTCTAATGTTCAACTGCTCTCCACTAAGCCACAAATTTACGTTATTAGGGCAACATTAGACGCACGGCTAATTATCAACACTGTCTGGCAAAGCAGCCGCCGCCGGTTCCACCAACCGAAAAAGCGCCAGTTCAGCAGAAAAGCGGGCGAACCAACCCTCCACCCACCACCACCCACCAGCAAGGGAAATACTTAATATATAAGAGCGCCAAGCGTTGGGCAGAGCGCAACCCTCGCACGTTAATGAACGTAAAATTCACTTAATTCCAACTTTGGCCATGAATTAAGCACGACAAATGGTTGGGCAAGTCGCCGGGGTGGTTGGCACCCAGTCGCTGCGCAGCTCCGACTGGTTGGGCATAAATAAAGCGTAAAGACGTGCCGGTTGGGCGGCCCAGAACCTGGGCCGTGTGTGCTCAGTCTACGGCCGTAGCTCTGGTACAATAAGTAAATGTGCTTTTATGGCTCTTAATTAAGGCAATGATGGGGTGTTTTAATACGTTTGCCAAATGTTAAATGACAAAGTGGCAGTTGGACGAGGCACGTTCTCGGCCTGTTTTCTGCTTGCTTTTGCTGTTAATGAAGCCGCTTTTTTGCCTTTCGGCCATGTGGATTTCCTTTGCATTTTTGTTGTTTGCATTGAAGTGTGGCTGTAAAGCGCTTTTCGCCGACTAATTAGCCTGAGAGCACTTTCAAGCTGCTGGCTAAGAACAAGCCAAATTATTGGCTTTTTATGGCTGATTGATTTTAACTGGCCAACTATAGCCAAAACTCAGCACAGCCTCTCAATTTGACGGGCTGCTCCTTCTGTCTGCACAGTTTTTTTATGATTTGTAAATGTTTGTCTTGGCAAGTTTATAGCTACATTTCCCGAACAACTAAATGGCGCCATTTGTGGCTTTTTATATGGACTCACTCATATATATATATATATATAAATCTGTGCTTATATGCTTGTTTGACTGTACACATAAAAGTCCAAATGCGCGGGCCGAAATAACATTTTCAACACTTTTGGTTCGATGAATCAAACGTTTTACAAGGCACAAAGGGGCGGCAGTTAGGGGTAGCTCAGGCAGCACATAAATACATATGTATATATACATATATCTCTTATATATATATATACTATATATAGCGTTAAACTTGTATCCATTTAGAGCAAATTAGTATGCCACGCACGTTTCGCCCAAAAAAATATCCAAACACTGAAAACCAAACAAAACAAAAAAGAAACACAAAAGCGGCAACAAACCGGAAACGGAAAGCAACAACAACAACAAAATGGCGTAAACGCTGCCCTTTGTCGTTGTTGTTGTTGTTGGCGTTTTTTTTATGACTATTTATATATTCAAAACAAATGCAATTGGTTTATTACACATCAATAAACGCGACCAACCAGTCAAATTTGCGCTGCGGTTAAATAGAAAAAAACGCAAAAGTATTTGATACATAAATACGTGCATATCCATGTCTGGCATGAACGTGATCAAATTATGATTTGATGGAGTTTGCTATTTGGCTAAAAATATCTCTATATACAAAACTGTTTGTCCTGACTGACTGATTGACTGATTGAGTGACTGACTGACTGACGCTTCCTAGCTGCAATTTTCACTATAGTTGCCTTATGTGATAAAGGTGCACGTTAAGACGGGGTGTCGGAACTTCCATTCGCACGTGTGAAAAAGTTGCGAGAATACGTTTTATACAACTTTTTCTGTTAGCATTCGATCGACCTCAAACTCATTTCTAAAGATTTTTGCTCAAATTCATTTGAAGGATGTTTAACACTGAAAAAAATGGTGAAAATGGGAATCAAATGGGTTTCAATTTCTAAGGATTTTTAAGAAAATTATGTCTATATGTGAGGATACCATATTTACATGCATTTTGATGAAGAATACTGTTGCAATATTTACATTCTAAATTGATCTAGATGAGATTTAACATCGTTATGGGTGTGAGAAATTTTCACCTATGTCTATATATGTCTATATATTGAATATTGAGACCGATGGGATGGTTAACGAAAAAGTTTTATTTAAACGTTTTTTCTCGATTTTTCCACGCATGCAAATGGAATATCGCAAAAGCTCGTGCACCTTCATCAGATAAAGGTAACTAGAGTACAAATTTCAGCTTCTTAGCTCTTAGGCTAAGCGTTGATCATTAATCAATCAGTCAGTCAATCAGTCAGTCAGTCAGTCAGTCAGTCAGTCAGTCAATCAATCAGTCAGTCAGTCATTTAGTCAATCAGTCAGTCAGGACAAACAGTTTTATGTATTGATTTATATATTAAACGTAAACTTTTTTTTACGATTGTTAACACACTTTTTATATGCCTTAAGATGCCTTTTCTTATAAGCCCAGTCCTAGCCCTACGTTCTGCACTCTTCATATTTTAAGCAGCAAATATTTGCTGTTCATTTACCTCCAACCAGTTTTTACAGCAGCCCCTGACTATATTTTGGCCAACACCATTAGCTTCATCGTTTGATACGCACACCTCCAAGGCCTGCTCTCAACAGGTCCGCTTTAGCATGTGCTTAAACAGCTTGCCGTATTGACCCAAGCAAATAGCCTGCAGTTGCAATTGATTGTTTATTTAACAGGCGCCCCCAGCTCGAAATTGGGGCCAGTCACGTGCAAGTGTCTAATGCCTTGGCCAAACACAGGCTGTGCCCCAGCCTCTGCGCCTGCAACCAGTTTCATATCAGGCAATTAAAATTATGAAGTGCAGTCGTGAGTAGCCTAACTTGGCTGATGATTAAAAGACAACAATTGCAACGACGTTGACAGCCTCAAAAGTGGACAAAGTCGAGTTGCACACACACACACACACACACACACACATAACTTGGTCAGATTGCAATTTATCTGCACGCAAATTTGTCAGTGCCAAAAATGCTGCAGCACTTGCCTTTGCCTGTGCGTGTGTGTGTGTGTTTGTGTGTGTGTGTGTGCTGGGGCAGAGTGTGAAAAGTCAAGTTGTCTGTTTGGCTGGGCAAACAATTGCGAGCACAGCAATGATCTTGGTTTGCACTTTTGGGTCTGTGCCCGGTCTCGTCTGCTTTGGTCCGGGTCCGGGTCCCAGCTCTCTCTCTGATTTGTGCCCGTGCAATGGTGCCTGGGAAATGGAGCTGCTTTGTTAGCACTGTCATGGAGTCAATTTGCGCACAATTTCGTTATTGGCCAGCAAATTCCCCAATGTGCGCTTTTCCCCCAACTCTGCTCGGCTGCTGTCGTTTGTGGAAATGGAAACTCTACGCAATTTTCAGCTGTACGCCAAGTCGTGCGTAAACTCCAACAGATATTCTCCTCCGGCAAAGCAAACTTTCAAGTTATGTAGCATATCATTTGTTATGCACTTTCGAATCCAACATTTGCGTATGTGTTTAACGAAGCGAGGCGCCCAGCCGCAAATTTGTATATGATTCTTGTTGGCGCTCGCAACAAGCAAAAAAAGTGTTGCCCGCTTTTGGGCGTCTTTGCCGGGGCCAAACACTGGCGCATTTGTCTCTGTCCTGGCCAAGCCACAGCCACAGCTCCGCCTTCGAAGCACTACGAAATATTTATACAATTTCGCATAATAATAAAAGACACACCCAATTTTCGTAAAATCCACAAATAAATACAATTTGTGCAGTGTGCTTGTAGCTTGGCTGCGTTTTTTTTAGACTCTCTTAGGCTCTTGTTACTGGGCCGAGCCACACCCCCAACCCATCGCCCAACGCCCACTGGCGCCATAGAAATGGCCAGCCACAAAGCCAGTCAACTGTGAATTGCCCAATTTTTGTTTACACAATTTTATTGCTCGTGGCCGAAAGCCCAAAAATTGTCATGCATGGCAGATACCTACAACAACAACAACAACAATTGGTGACCCTTGGCTTAATTTTAAATGAAAAAACAAAAACCACAACAACAACAACAATAACAAATGGCATACACAAGACGTTCCATTTAATTTTTGGTTATTTTGCAATTTTTCACTTCATTAAACATTTTTACGGATTTGTCATATCAATTTACTGAAAGGGTTAAGCATTGCCATCTTAAGGGTTGATTGAGACGTTCAAAGCCCAACAAATAAACAAAATA